TTCGCCAGACCTCGCACGCGCCGCCTCCATACCCCCCAAAAGACGAAAAATATAAGTGCATGCCAGGGCAAACTGTGCTCTGGCCTGCACATCCAAATAGTCCCCGATCATAATATACACGGGAGGTGGCATCCCAAGGAACTCCAACTCCAACCTCTCGTTAGGCAAGACCCTATCCCTCAGTTTTCTCAGCCTAACGCGAACCCCTGCTCGGTGTTTCCTCGTCCGCCGCTTTGTGCCGTCAGGCCTCCGCTGGCCTCGGCGAATGCCTGCACCGGCAAAGGCAATTATTGGACGTATAGTAGCGCAACATTTCCCGGCCAATGGGTGGCCGGTACTCTGCCCTTCCCGACCAAAAGACGGCCAGTACTAAGGCCACATACACCAACAACTTGCCAGCAGTGCACCAATGCAAGAAAAGCAAAGCCCCGTACGGGCCCGTGTAGCAAGATAACATATGTATGACAACACGTTTAGGAAAGAGCATCATCTACCACTGCCCCATATTCCATTTCCATATTCGTCGCTTGGCATCGCCTGCGATAAGCGCCGACGAGCCTAAACTCCTTTCGCGATCAATTGCGCGGCTGGCGACAAATATTGGATAGCCAGTTTCCGGGTGGTGGCGGGTACTCTGCCCTTCCCGACCAAAAGACGGCAATCTGAGGCCCACGCCAGACCAATAAGCACTGCTTCCGCGGCCTGAAAAACAACATGCGGGACCCGTTATTATAAGATGGCACCATATCAACACGTTGAGGAAAGTTCATCATCTACCAGTGCCCCATATTCCATTTCCATATTCATCGCTTGTGGGCATCCGCACGATGGCGCTTGGGCCTAATACAACTTGCAGACACTGCACTGCACTGGCAGAGGCAAATGTTGGACATGATAGCACAGCATTTCCCGGCCAATGGGCGGCCGGTACTCTACCCTTCCCGGCCAAGGACGGCCGGTACTGAGGCCACTTAGACCAACAACTGCCAGCACCGCAGGAATACAAGGAAAACAAAGCTCTATTACATGGGAGCCGTGCAGCAACGTAACATATGCATGACAGACATTTAAAAAAGTGCACCGTTCACCATTAACTTTTGTTCCAGTGCATACAACACCTAACTGCAGACACCAACACCAATATGCAACAACTTTGAAGCCTAGGAATCCAAGGTTAGCTTACATTTTCTCTTCCTTGTTGAGGCTGCCGGGGCGCCGCCCTTGGGGGTCCCGGCCTCGGCGCCTTCCGTAGCATTCATCTGGCTGGCTGCGCGTGCCACACACAAAAAGGTACACATTCAGCAAGATGTCCATGCACCAAAAGAGAGAAATAGCACCAATAGGGACACGATGGGAGAAGCAGCAGCTGGCCATGCACACCGCGAGCCCAGCAACAGCGGCTTTTTCCCAGTGAAGCCGCGGCCAGTACTCCAGCCGGGCACAACAGCACTCCACTTGCCCCACCCCGACACGATCTTGGAGAAGCAGCAGCCGCCCATGCACACCACGAGCCCAGCAACAGTGCCTCTTTCCCGGCCAAGCCACGGCCGGTACTCCAGCCGAGCAAAACCGCATTCTCCCCGACCCACCCCGACACGATCTTGGAGAAGCGGCAGTCGCCCATTTCAGCCCCCTACCTGCATTATCCCCTGGTGTTGCGTGCTCACGGTCGGAGCCTGCATTGGGAACATAAAACACGTTACCAAACGCCCATCCACACCGCACCTTCACAAAACAACAACCCTTTCCTGGCCAAGTTGCGGCTAGTACTCCAGGCGAGCACAACAACAATTCCCCCGCCCCACCCCCACACGAACTCGGAGAAGTAACAGCCGCCCATGCACACCACAAGCCCAATAACAGTGGCTTTTTCCCAGCCAAGCCGTGGCCGGTACTCCAGTTGAGCAGTACAGCAATCTCCCAGCCCGAACCCCATATGATCTCGAAGAAGCAGCAGCCGCCCATGCACACCGCGAGCCCGACAACAGCAGGTTTTTCCCGGCCAAGCCGTGGCCGGTACTCCAGCCAAGTACAACAACATACTCCCCGCCCCACCCCGACACGATCTTGGAGAAGCAGCCGCCGCCCATTTCACCCCCCTACCTGCAGTATCCCTTGGTGTGGCATGCTCACAGCTGGCGCCTGCATTGGAAAACATAAAACACGTTACCAAACGCCCATCCACCCAGCGCCTTCACAAGACAGCAGCCCTTTCCCAGCCAAGCCGCGGCCGGTACTCCAATCCAGCAGTACAGCAATCCCCCAGCCCCAACCCCATATGATCTCGAAGAAGCAGCAGCCGCCCATGCACACCACGAGCCCGGCAACAACAGCTTTTTCCCGGCCAAGCCACGGCCGGTACTCCAGCCGAGCAGAACAGCATTCCCCCCGCCCCACCCCGACACAATCTCGGACAAGCAGCAGCCGCCCATGCACATTGCGAGCCCAGCAACAACGGCTTTTTCCCGGCCAGGCCATGGCCGGTACTCCAGCCGAGCAGAACAGCAAACCCCCCGCCCAACCGACGCCAGTGCCACTGGCACGGTGCCGGTGGCACCGCACTCACCACTGGGTACGGGCTCCATGGGGGCAATTGGCGGCGGGGGGGCTCCGACGCAGCACTTCACATACCCCAGGGGCGCCACATCACAATGGGATGATCACATGCCAGCCAATCGAATGTACTAGGCCTGGGAACGCTTTGGGCGTACATTCTGCTTGCGTGACGGACAACACCAATTTGAAGGGGCACATTGATGTGCCACGGGGGCGAGCAGTGTGCACTGCCGAATCCATCAAAAACCCAGGCAATCGCACCCCACGTCCGCCATGCATACCCGTTGCGCACTCAACCAGGCGTTTGCCCATCCGGTCCGGGAACGGGACTCGCTCTGTGGTAGATTTCAGTCACCTTCTGCAAAGTACAAGCATCTGGGAATGCCCGTCTTACAGAATTTGAACGGAACGCCGTTGGAATTTCTGTACTGGGGTTCAGTACATTTGAGAGGTCTGTGTTGCTCCGTACATTTTGATGGAATTCTGTCGACCTCTGTGGTCCGGTCGGCGGTTCTGTTACAGGGGGCCTGTCATCCGTAGAGGGTGGCGCGGATTCTATAACACGTGGTTCCATTCTGGAGGGTTGTGTGGATCTCTGTAACCGTCTATGCTGACGTCAGTTTGGCCCCGCCCGGTTCTGTAAAACACTTTATCTCTCTGTGACCCGCTCACGGATTCCGTGGAATGTACGGAATTTGGACGGAGCCAACCATATTCTGTTGTGGACGGACAGAAGGGGCCACCTCTACTTCCGCGGGGAATGGCACTTCACCGCTCTCCCCATCATTACGGCCGGGAGAGGGCGCATCGGGGCCGGATGGCCCTGGAATTTCCCCGGACATCCTCGGGGATGCCCGGGCTTCGGCTTGCCGAGCCTCGGGGCTCGGCGGCCGGCTTGCTTTCGCGGTGTGTCACGCGAGCGCGCAGGTGGAAGGGCCAGGCCTTGGGGGCCTGGCTCTGAAACCAAATGATACACGACTAATGTTACGGTGGGCGCCTTCCCGCTAAGGCCATGGACCCACCTCGCCATGGCACGTGAGTCACCATGACTCACGCCGGACCACCCGTTACAACACGGTATACTATTTATATGTTCTAGTACTTTACGTGGCTTGAGACTACATACATAGTCTAGGGAAGCCAGTCACCCTAGACCAGTGACAAGGGGACAGCATCTAGTAAACTAGAGTTCCAATAATGGAACTCAATATAATTTATAATTCCTTAATGGGTTTTAATACCCATACGGCGTATCATATGAGATTGTTCTATCGTAATGTTCATTGTACTTTAACCTCCCAGTAACCCAAATACCAGAGAAACATACTACCCCCTGTGCTTTACACCACACGTGGGGGTGCGATTGCCTGGGTCTTTGATGGATTCGGCAATGCACACTGCTCGCTCCCGTGGCACATCCATGTGCCCCTTCAAATCGTTGTTGTCCGTCACGCGAGTAGAATGTACGCCCAAAGCGTTCCCAAGCTCAGTACATTCGATTGGTTGGCATGTGATGTGATGCCCCTAGAGTATGTGAAATGTTGCGTCAGGGCCGCCCGCCGCCAATTGCCCCCATGGCGTCGGTACCCTCAGGTGAGTGCGGTGGTGATGGCGTCAGTGTGGTGGGTGGGTGGTGTGGATGGTGCTGCTTCCACTGCTGTTTTCGTTGTGGTTGTTGGATGAGGGTTCATTTCTGTTGAGCTCGAATACCGGCCGCGGCAATGCGATGCCATGGCCGGGAAGGAGCAGCGGGGAATTTCGAGTCTTGCGGGGTGCACGGGCTCACCCCATTGGGTTGTTGTTGTTTGTGTCGGGTCACGTTGTATGCAACTTGGAGTGGAGGGGACGTCGTTTTGTAGTAGAGTAACGGCCGCGGCCTGGTTCGCGATAACCTCGACCTCCATCATGGCCAGCAGGGGTATCTTAGGCATAACCCGCTAGGGCCACATAACCACACAACTTCCTTTTCCTATAGCCCCTCTGGAGGCAATGCTTAGCGAAAATTTCGGTGATGTGGATTGGCAAAACGCCGAACAAGAATTACCTCAGCAAGGGAGTGTGAATTTTCAAAACTGCCTAAGGTGTAGTGCCTAGTATTTGCTAACCGTAAAAAGGGAGTGCACCTATTGGGGTTTTGGTTTTGGGGGGGCCACGTGGTGTGTGAGCTATATGAGCGATTTTGTTGGGACGGGTCCGCCATAACTGAGCTAGTAAATCCAATTTTGTGCAAAACACTGTTTTTATTCAAAGTACTTTTTCTGCCGTTGTAAGAATGGTTGGACAACTGGCCCTTTAAAGGGCTGTAAATATGCAGCTGGTGTAGTTTTGTTGCGTTATTGCAACAGCAAACGGTCAAAAGGGTGTCTGAACACACTGTGGGGCAACGGCTTGGCATTTTCAGGCACGAAGGATTTTCAGTGCAGGGCACGGCGTCTGCCCGCAGGATGGCCAACCTTGGCGAGAAGCCGGACTTGAGCCAGGTGGGTTGGGCCGTCCGAACGGCGCGTGGCGCCGTGCCGTGCGCCCCCGTCTTGGAACGGCGCCCCACCAACCGCGCCGGATCTCCCAGTCCCCTTTCTTACCCCTTGCGGGTGTTCGCCACTTGCCCCTGGCCGCCCGTCCCTCAGGGCCGCTGTGTGTGGATTCCTGGCGCCGCTGCGCAGCGAGCTCAGCCGAGCGTCTGTCGACCTGCGACCCTGGCGCGGCTGCGGATTGAGATCTCACTAAGTCTTCAGGTGTTGCGGTGCTCCTGCTTGTTGGGCGAGGGTTAACCGCCGCCGGGCAGAAGCCCTTGGCCCCCGATGTCCCTAGCCGACGCGCTCTTCCGTTCTGACCTGGCCTGGGAGATATGGAAGCGGCGCATGGGCCCGACTCCTGACGCATTGTTCGTGGGCCCCTGATTGCGTTTTCGCCGTTTACGCCACGAATGTTGCGGCAGGTGTCTGCGGACACGCGAAGAGAATTTGCGGCCGAGGTGGCGGCCAAGGTGCAGCGGAAGCTAGAGCGCAAGTCTCGGCGGCAGCAGTTCGCCGAGAGGCTGGAGGCAGCTGCGCAACAGGTAGTTTGCAAACCCTGCTGATGTTGCCAAGGGATTCTCCTCCGCTAATGCAGTTGTGGCCGCAGTCTCAAGAGATCACAATGGGATCAGGGGTCGTCTTGTCCTGGTCATGCCTGTGATATATTGAAAATGGGCGCTCATAAGTTGCAGATTTGAATGCCGTGGTATCGTATTTTCTGTTGCTTTGGCGATTTGCTGGCGATCCTAGTGCTGATTCTGTGTTGTGCTCTCCCAATATGTGCAAACCGTACACCCGGCACCAGGTTGATCGAGAGGCAGGGGAACAGTCCAAGAAACACCACCACAAGAGGAAAGGAAGCAAGAAGGAGAGGAAGGAAAAGAGCAAGAAGCACAAGAGGAGCAAAAAGAGGAAGCACGTTGAGGCCATGGGCACCAGTGACTCGACCTCCAGCGAATCTGGGGACTCTGTGGAGAGGCATCATAAACACAGGAAGGTCAGTGGCCTTGATGGGAACGCCATCCAAATGCACACTGGAAGCAACATTTTGTGTGTCAGTGTGTTGGATGGGTAAAGGGGGGGTGGGGGCAAGATGCTACGCCCCACATGGTTAACACAACTATCCCCCTTCAGATCAAGGAGGCTGTTTTGGACAGTCCGGCAGGGTTGCTGGAAACACAGTTTGTGTTGGTCTGAAGAGCCCACCATGGCTCAGGTAAGCAGAAATCGAGGGCACACATTTCTTTGGCAGTGGAAAGGAGCGTGTCCATAGGTTTGTGGGTAATGGGGCTGGCAGGAGGGAGAAGGAACTCCATGAATAAGCAGCAGGAATGCTTTGGCCTATTGCAGTGCTTTCGTTCTATATCAGAATTTTGAGATCAAGGAAACAATGGTAACTCAAGGTATCATTGGTTTACTCAACTTGTAGATGAAGCCCCTCCTCTTCCATTGTGCAAACAACTATAATTGATGCTCATGAAGTATTTGTGGCCATGCAACTACTTGGTAAATGCAGCGTGCTCATTTCACCTGAACATGGAACTTGAGCAGCATGAACAATGTGCTGCAGCACGATGGGTTCGAAAGTCATTGTTGTAGCAATCCATTCCATGCAAGCAAAGGTGTTGAGCAAAAACTGCTCAATTCTATTGCGGGTGTCAAAGTTAACGACAGTTGCATGCCTAGTTAGTAAGGAGACTGACTGATATGATGAATGGAGCCCATGTCCACCGTTTATCTACATAACCAGAAGTTTCAACTGAGAATTCCCTTCCAATCAGTAAAGTGTACAATTTTCCTTTTCCCAAAATTGGCTCTGCTAGCCTCCCTGAGGCAAGTGACTACAGGCCTCAAATGGATGTCGCACTTTTCTGTGTTCAGCATTCAAAGCGACACAAGAAGAAGGGCAAGGAGTCGAGGCAATCTTCCAGTGACAGTTAGGGTAAGGCACAATTGCGCTTGGGCACAAAGCACATCATAACAGGACTTTATTGGAACTATGGGTTGGTAGGAGCATCATGTGAATGGCAGGCCTGTAGACTTGCTGTTGCACGTCCTTTTGGCGTTTGGATAGTGAACAGTCTAGAATCTGCATGAGAACGACAGTCCGCTTGGTTGCATTGGCCACAACATGACATACACTGCTGTGGCACCAGCAAGGTGATGGCAGACATATTTCTGTTGACTTTGTTTGTTCAGGAATGTCTGTTCATTACCCTGTACTCAGTGCTGAATGTTCTTGAAGTGGGCAGCCGGTAGATTATGTTCTGCATGGAAATTGCCACAATGCTTATGGAGGAGGCCTGTGATGCCGTGCTTCTGCCTGCATCAATGAAAGGATTGCAGCTCTATTCACTGCTTCAGTCTGTGCATGTCAAGACCGAACAAGCCTGTGGAAAAGCTGGTTCACAAAAGAAGCTCAATTTGGTGTGGCAGTCACAAGAGCAACAAGCAGGAAGCCGCAAACTGTACAAGTTTTGGCGGTGACACACTTCAACATAAGGTGGTGGATTGGGCTGCTTGCCTGGCCCGTCGTTCAGACAGTGCTGTGGAAGGTTTTCTTTGTGGCATTGTGTTTATTGTGTTCACGGTTCAGGGTTGGAGGTTTGGGTCCCTGGGCAAGGACAACTGGACAGAAATGGAGAGTTTGCAGGTTTTGGGGGGCGGGGTTGGGGATATGTTTGTGACAGAATGAAAAGAGCTGTCGACACACTGCGTGCTTGTGCAATGCATGTAGTGTGGTACTCTCTAAGTGATGCACTTTTGTCGTCGTTTGCTTAGAGATGGCACTTTTCCAACACCTTGAGAGCGACCTTGGTAATTGGAATACCCTGAGTTTGGCACCAGAAAGGCGTAAAAGTTGGGCACCACTGCATGATCCTGCAAAGTTGCGGTCTCCCAGATTGCGCAACTTGCAGTTGCTGTCAGACTGCTGCATATTACCAAAGCCTGCATATCGTCTTGGCAAGTCCCTCCAACATGGTGAAGTGACTGAGGTGAGTTGCAGGTGACTGGAATGGTGCTGGTGATTGACACGAGCCACAATCCATCACCCCATTGACTGACTGTTGCCTATCTCTATCAAAGACCGCAGGTTCATGCATTGGGCCAGAGCACCTATTGGCGCCCACAATTCCTGTTGCCTTGAGAGTACGTTGCCCCTGTGCAGTTGCCCCTGCTTCAGTGGAAGAAGGTTTGCACGTCCATCGTAGCTTGCACTTTGGGCAAGCGTGCATGCATCTGCAGGACATGGCCACATGGTCGCACGTTGCCACACTAGCATGCATACATTAACTTGCAGCAATGCACTGAAGCACACACTTCTTTGGGTGTGATCTTTTGATGAGAGGCCATATCGCTTGTTTCTGCAGTGGAACTTGTGGTAGTCTCAATGAGATTCTTGTAGTATCTGAGTGCAGGTAAGCAATGAACATCCTGCAGCCTGCTTAATCAGTACCAGGACGCCATCGTGAATCCCTATTGGCGCAGTTCCATTCGATAGTACCCGATCGCTTCGCAATACACAGCGCTACAACTCAGCTCTATGTCAGCCCCAAGCTGGTATTTGGCTCCCAAGCCCTCTTGCACCTGACCGAGCTTCACGCTCGAAGATGGGACTAGGCAGGAGCGAAACAAGAAAAGGTTTGACTGACAACAAAGCATGAAGAGTCCCACACGCTCGGCACTCCTGAGCGCGCTGAATTTCAAGCACGGCTCGCTGAAAATCCTAAACCCCAGCTGGTATAAAATGCGCTGGACAGAACCCGAAGGGCGTGGCCAAAAATTCCTCTTACCACACGAGAGCAAACAAGGAATGATCCCAGCAGAGCAGAACGCGTGAAACGGGTCCTTCTCCTGGTGTTGTTTTCTTTTCTGGTGTCCCGATATTTTTGGAAGGTAATGCGCTGTTCCGGAACTCCGGAGAGAACAACAGATGACGCCAACGTGCGCCCCTCGTGGCTGAGTGAACCCATGGTACTCCAAATCGCATGGGTGATGGAGGGATGATGCCAACACGTGCCATTCATGAACCCATTTAATGCCCGCACAGCTGGCGCGCAATGGCATCTTTGGGCATCCCACCAGCTGTCCCAGCGCCGAGGACCCCCACGCGAGCCGCGCCCGAGTCCTCGGCCCAGCCGTTCGCGGAGCCGCGCACGCCCACGCGGGCAGGCACCGACGGTCTGGACCGGCGTCCGGCCCCCATCCCTCCAGAAGGCGTGGCCCGGCCGCCATGACCGAGCACACCGGCAGCTCGCCCCTCTTCGCTGTCTTCTCGCTGAGCATCCTCAGCCTGATCCTGATCCCGTGGACGATATACAAGCTCTGCTCCAAGGGCCAGGAGAACGTGCAGCCATGGGTGCCGGTACGCGGAGGAGCGATTGGCCGGCAGCGGCCCTGCTGCCAACGATTGCCGCTCCCGAAATGGACTATGGATGGGACGGGAGCTTGCCACTTTGGCGGAAAGGAAGGCGATGCAGGCATACGGTGTCGCGCCCCAATCGGTCTGCGCATCGTCGCCTCGGCATCGAAGATTATCGTCCGGGCAAAAGTGGAAGGACACGTCATCCGCCCAGACGTCTGGGGTTGGGCGACTCGCTGATCGAAGAGCATGCTGACCGTGTGCCACATCAATGCTCTCGCTGCCGTTCGTTTGCGGGCATGACCTGCCCTCCGCGCGTCGTGTCCAGCCTTCGTGATGTACCTATGCGCCAGCTGCGCCCGGCACGATCACCTTCGGGTTCAAGCACTCCAACACCTTCGGCACCCCCTCTGTCGACCATCGCACCATTTTGGATCTGGGTGTGAATGCGAAGTCATGGAGCAGGAGGCACGACCGGTGAAGGGTCTCGCTGTTGAGATCTTGACCCAATGGATGAAACCAAATGGATGGCGGAAACGCTGCATTGATTCCCAAACTCAGGAGGGCGCTGCGGGGAGGTGGAATGGGGAGGATGGCACATAGTGCCTAATATCGCTGACAAAGTTTTTGATCGCACCCTTGAGACGCACAGAGACCAGTGAAGAACACTAGTAGCACTCATCATCCCTGATGGTGAATGACAAGGCATTTTTGACAGTGGCTCTATCAATCTGCTTACCAGATTTGTCTTGCATTGTGTTCCGCAACCCCAGATGTATCCTTCATTGCACAGTGGCGGAATGTCAGCACAGGTGCTTGTCACCTGCAGCAAACCCTGCATCAGTGTTTCACCTCAGTGACAACAGGTTGATCTAGATCTCCATTTGTTGAAAACTGTCTACATTTGGAGTTGGGATCACGTTTCGTTGTTGTGGATGGTGCCAGCAGCATCTGTGAGACTGGAAACGATGGCGAGAGGCTTTGGATGTTAACTGGATATGATCTTTGGTTGCGCTTCAGGGGGGAAAGAAAAGAACTGTTGGCCAGAAACTGGCACAGTACTTTACGATTGGTAGGTTTCAATAAAAGTCTTCTCAGTCCGTGATTGGGGTCCTGGGCAGCATTTTGATGAAGATGCAAAAAGAAGTTCAAGCCAAACTTGTGAGGCTTGCACTTGTTGCAAGTGTCCATACATTGTCGGAATGTGCATAAATTTACCAAAACTATGCAATAAAGGCAAGCGTGCTACCACATTTACGGACTCTGTACTTGTGCCTGTTATTCTGTGCAAGTACTCTTCATCGAACATGCCTCGCATGTGACAGATGTACTGTCATGATGGTGTTGGCAACGATATGAACAGAGTCTAGCCTTGTGCACTCTGGGCTACGTGGTTGGACATGAGCTGTCTTGTCTTCGGCCAAGACACTTCAGTCCATTCCTTGCCCATGTGAAGAGGCATGGTTTTGTTGCAGATGCCTTTTGCATACCAGGGAACTTCACCACTGGACACAAGCAGCTGTGTTTCCTCTGACAGTTGAATTGCATTTACCGGCCCAACAACTCTGTAGTCAGCACAAAGTCATGTCCAGTGATCCTCTGAGGGAGAGATGCATGGTGCTTGCTGCACGATGGCATTTTCTAGGGCAAAGCACCACTTGCATTTGGAATGCAACAATGAGCATCCATCCATCCACAGTGTTCGAAAACGTCTTGTTCAGTGTTATTCTAGCAAATTCGCCACAAACTTCTCAAGCTACCAAAGGAAGCTGTCAGAAGGGATCACACAGCTGATGCCAGCATGTTGCTGCAATTTCTCTTGCTGCAGGCAATGTGGCACTCGTCTTCTTGTGGATTGTTGCTGCGGTGTTGGTGGTGTATGTGCAAAAGAGCCAAAAGGACATGGCTCCCTTTGACCCCTATGAGATATTGGGAATCCAGCCAGGCATACCAGAGAGAGCAATAAAGAAGGCTTTCCGAGAGTTGACTTTGAAATGTCACCCAGACAAGGTCTGTGTTGTTGGAATTGGCATTGAGGTTTCCTGCCTGTGACCAAACCTTTAGCTCCTGTCCGATTCTCAGTTAAACTCTTAGGAGAAAAGTGGCGATGAGGCTATAAACGAACAATGCAACAAATAGGAGAAGCCTCCAGTGCCCTCTGTGCATGCTGCTTGAAACTGGAAACTGCAGTCCTTGTCTAAGCCAGCTTGCATGGTGCAAATGCCATCAGAGCGTTGCCTGCAAGATGTGTTTGTGTGTGCTGGCATTCTGCAGAGCTCTTACGCACCACTCTTTCAGTTTTCCAGGGCAGACACATCTATGTGTGTATCTTTCCTTGCTGCTGCATTTGCTTCTTTGCAATTTTCTTTTCTTTAGGGCATCAAATGATGCAGTTTTTGGCACCGAAATGATAGTTTTGCTGACCATTGCCAGCAGTAAACAATTCTATTGTCGAGGTGAAGGAACCACACAACATTTCTGATGGATTTTGTTTGGGGCTTGCTGCCATTGGGGTAACCCTGAGGAGTACTGGGACATGACTTTGTGTTGAACGATTTTGGTCACAGAATCCCAAGGGAATTGGCTGTGCACATAATTTTGTGGACATTGTGAGAGCGCACAGGGCACTGACGGACCCAGAATCCATGAAGAAATACCAAGAGACTGGAAATCCTGACGGTTTTACAGTAAGTGTGAATTGGCCAGTAGATTGTCCACAGTGGATTGCTGGTATGCTGCTTCGCAGTGCAACACGATCCGAGTTGTAGTCCGTGGTGCAGATGTGCTGAATTGAACCATCCCTGAGCTGCACCTTTCACTGTCTTTGCACTCTATTCTTTTATGGAACTTCCCTGAATTGTGCAACCAGCTGTGAGCAGAGATGCAAGGAAATTGGGACAACATGAACGCTTTGAATATAGGAATGCTACCACAGCTCAAAACAGTATTGCAGCTGTCATCACACTGCTCTCTGCGCTCCAGAGTCTGCAACGCGTGCAGGCCTCAACATGCAGGTCACATCAGATTCCATTGACCACATTGCTGTGCAAAAGCAAAGCACAATCCTTGCACCTGATGGGCGATGGTGTGTTGATCGACACACATGGGCCACAGTGCACTGAGCTTTTTGTCTTCTTTGTTTCTTGTGCGTTATTTACTTCCTTTTGCACCCTGCACAGGGAGGATTGACAATTGGGATCGCCCTTCCTGAGTGGCTCTTGCCAAAAGATAAGAAGGTTGCCCCAGTGGCCCTGCTGCTGCTGGTGTGCAGCTTCATTCTGGTGCCACTTGGTGGAATGGCTTGCTATCTGTTCAGGTCTGACAAGTACACTGGGCCCAACAACATCATACAGGAGACCATTGGACGATACTGGCAATGCATCAGGCAAGGAATGGTGAGTTCTGAAGAGTGTCCTTGTTTGCAGGGAAAGAAATTTGGCTGCCTGGCTGTTGTACAAAAAAGGTTTGTTGTCAATGTTCTAAGGGTGATTGGGGGTCGCCTGCAGTGTGAAAGGGCACTGCATCGTATTACTCTGAGTGGGCAAGTGCTATCCATGGAATTCAATATAGAGTAATGGCTGTCACATCGTTGAATCGCCCCAAGTATCAGCCATGCCCCAAATATCAGCAGAGCTGTGTGCCTGCCCAGTGTCGTTTGTAGTTGTGTGTAGGTTGTAAGCTTTGTGGCAGTGAAGCACAAGTGATTTGAAAGCTGTTTTCTACCATTTGTGTTCATGTTTTTCAGCTCCAAACATTGTGGCAGCAGCTGCAGCAACTACAATTGCTGAGCTGTTATTTTACAGTGCTGTGTTCAGGGAGGTCACACAATCATTTGGAGTCCACAGGCATTTGTTCGAAAAAGATTTGCAGGTTTGTGGACCCTGTCAGACTCCCATCATTTGGTGTTTGGTCCCCACTGAAGAGTATCAGCAACTAATCCCCCCTGACCCATGATAGCTGCCTGCAGCTTTTGCATGAAATTGCTCGAATATGTATGGTGTCTTCTTTCTGGTGAAGACCTGTCTTCTTACACACCATGTTTTGCTGGGCAGAGTGTTGGGCGCATTCCAGAGATCCTTGTGCTGGCAAACGAATTTATCCACATGCACACGCCTCGAGATCAACTTGAAGCCCTTGTCGAACTGCGGCAGATTGTGTCAAGATACCATAAGGAGCTGCTGAACAAACCTCTATTCAAAAAGAGGAAGACGGGAGTGCAAAAGGTAGGACTGCTACACAAGCTGTATGTCATGCAGACAGAGATACACACAATGCCAGCATGCTATGACAGCGCTAGTATGACAACTGTTGCACAAAAGTCACATGCTTTGCTTGGGCTGTCCGCACCACAACAAATCAGGCTGCAGCCATTTTCCACGGGTAGCACAGCACTTCAGTCAGTACAGGCAGGCAGGCTTATCAGAGCCAAGCATCTGTGTCTCAGCAGCTGCCAGACATTGCCTATCAGTTGCTGTGGCAGTAATATATCAACACAAGTAGCCAGAGCAGAGTTCGATTGGTAAAAAGGCCAAGGAATGTACTGCATACGTTATTCATAAACAGACACCAAGGAACGGCCCAACAGGGCCGTACCCAGACCAAAGCAACTGTCCTTAGACAAAAGGGGACCAATTTCCAAACAAGGTGGGGAATGGATTGTGGAAAATGCACTCGTGAGCAATGCGCCACCAAATTCCAAGCCAGCATCTAGATGCCACAAGCAAAGTTCCTCAAGCACGTGTGGCAGTTTTATCAAAAGAAAGCCAAACGGTTCCCATATCCTGGGAATAAGTACTGCAAATGCTGCAGATGAGGTTCAGCCAAGGTCTCATCGGTCATCCAACCTGTTGAACAGCTGAGAAACAGTAAGTGCTGTGTTCTGTGCACATTTGATCTCCCCATCGAACCAATAATCCACATGCTAGGGGATGCGAGTTTTGCTGAGGCAAAATGAACCTTTCCAGACTTTCTCATTTCCAGCTTTTGTTGGATTTAATCAGCCAGCTGTGAGCACTGAGGGCTGCTCTTCTACAAGTGTGGATAATGAAAGCACTAGGAACAAACATTGATGACCTATTGAAGGGACCTGCCCTTGCCTGCAAGGCCATGTGACAACAAGGGGAAACAGAGTGGATTTCATGCGTGCATGAATTCTCGCTGATCCCAACCTGACTGCAAAGAAAGTGGGAGCTAGAATGGCGTTTGCGAGTTGTATTATATCTGTAGGTTGCAGTGCACTGCCGGCGATTGTACAAAATCGTCTCCACTGAATGCATCAGGCATTTACAGTTTGCCAGACCGGGTCTGATCAGCTATGTCAAGTGGCACAAAATCAACTGGCCACTATTTGCACTTAAGCAAGTCGGGTGGGGATTGGCATCGTACACAAAATGCAACAGAGAAAACACTATTTGTCTGCTGTTGTGCTCATCATTGCCTGCTGAGATTCAAAGCCCAGTTGTGTGTTCTGTTTTTGACAAGTGCAAAGGATCGAATTCCAGACTGACTGTTGCTGATGCATAGTGAGCTTCCCCAGCTGGGAGCCCCATGGCTTGTCAACCACACCCAAGCACTGAAGCTCTCAACCAACGTCGCCTGGCAGTTGCAAGGGGCAGTATTCTGCTATGGTGCAAAGATTGTATTCAGCATGGAATATGCCCAATCAACTTTGCATCCCAAACCAACCGGCAACGGACTTGTCTCATCGATAGGCCCTCTGCATTCCCAGGCAAACTGCTTCCCTGGAGAAATTTCCATTGTGGTATGGTCTTGCCATCAGGCTGTGTGCTGCTATTTGTCACTTTTGTGTGGTTTTCTTTGCTTGATAGTTGAACATTGCCTCACTTCTGATCTTTTTTGACAGAGTTGTCAAGTTCTTGAGTTGTGTTTGCTTCAGGCACACATGCTCCTGCTTGCCCATCTTGAACGCGAGGGAGAAAATCTGCCTGAAGTCCTTAAGAATGATTCAAACTTTGTGCTGGAGAGGACACCGGTTCTCTTGGAGGAGATTGTGAAGATGGCATGTTGGCCCCGTCCCCCCAGAGGAAGAGGCTGGCTGGTGAGCTGTTTGACGACTCATTTGCCAGCACCACATGTGATTCCTTTGTGTTTCTTTGGGTTGCTTTGGGCTGTTAGACTCTTTGCAGCTGTGCGTCTTTTTGGCTTTATTCTTAATACTACCTGGTTTGGCTCATCTGGCCATATAAATGGTATGTGTGAATCCATCCTGCTCTCATTATTGAAGTACACTTGAGTGCAAGATGCTTAGGTTGTGCCAGGAGCATTGACCACAGAAACACTGTTGCTCAACAAGATCATGAAGATTGTTCTGGTGCGAGTTCACTGTTCTTGTCAAAGGTGGTTTAGTTGTCGCTGGTGCCAGCATCGGTTGATTGGTGAAAGGGCAGTGCTTTGTCCGGTTTTGGACAAATGTAGTCGATGGGCTTACACCCGTGGTTGCTGCTTGTGCCTCAGGCCCCAGCCGTTGGTGCAATCCAGTTGGTCCAGTGCGTGACACAGGCAGTGCCAACCTGCCACAGAAAGACCACACACAAGGGCCCTGGAGATGGTGTTGCAGCCCTCCTGCAATTGCCAGGAATGAAGACAGACATGCTGAAGCTGCTGAGCAGGAAGAAAGTCCGTAGTCTGCATGGTATGGTCTCAGTCTTGCTGTAGTTTTGGTGAAAAGGGTGGTGCCTATGATGTTGCAAGTATTTTGTTCTGTTAAGCAGACTACTGGACAGTAATGTATCTTCGATTTGCCCTTGTGGCACATGTGCTTTTACTTGCTTGCCTGTGAGCCTGTTTGAGACTCATTTTTCCTTTGTAGTATGATACATTCGTCTATTTGGCCTTTGACTTGATGTGCTTGTCATGGACTGAATACCTGCTTGAGGGTGATGGGTGATGCTCATGGATGCTGTGCAGATCTTGTTGACTTGTATCCTGATGAGCGATCTACGCTGCTCAGCTCCATTGGCTTCAATGAGGCTACCATCCAGCAGGTTGAGACGGCACTGCTGGCGATGCCACAGGTCCATGTCACTGCAGCCGAGTTCTTTGTTGTGGGAGAGGAGGACATCGTGCAGAAAGATGTGGTGACATGCAAGGTATTTGAGTGCAATGTGCACAACTGTTGTTGTCCAGTTTCAAATATATTGCATATTGTAGAATGTCACATGAAATATCTCTTTGGAGATATCAGCTGCCATCCCCTTTCTGATACAAGAGATACAAGCATTTGGCCACCTTGCATGAAGCACAAGGCGTTGCAAGACTGACAGAAAGGTCTGCCCCCCAAGATGCAGAGTGCAAGAATGTATAACCCAACGCCGGCACCCTAGAGGTGGGGTTTCCAATTCTTTTTTTTTCGATTCCAGAATATTACATCACATTTCAGCATCCAGGGACCTCCCCCGTCCTATTACAAGATATGTGGGCCTTGTGCCACCCAGCAATGCATGCAAGGCAATGTAAAGCCCCCAATTGTTCGAATCCCAGAGAATGCTCAGTCTCAGGAAAGAACAGGGATGGTGGTCCCCGCGTATCACCTCAATTTACATTGTATTATCTGTTGCTATGGAGTTTCAGAGAGCATGGAATGTCTGCTCTGGAAAATACTGTTTATCTATTCTATGTCAGCAGATCGCCACACATGTCGACGATCTCGAATCACAACTTCCTATAGGGACCAATGCTGTTCCCTGAATGCCATGTAGCTACAGCCTTTCATGCTGACTGTTTTCTGGCTCCTTGCTGATTGTGGGCTGAATTGATGCTCCAACAGGCCATTGTTGCTCTCCACACAACAATGGATGAATTGTGTTTTGCTAGGCATCAGCACATTTTGTGGACAGTACTTCCATTTGCAAGAGAGTGGAAGAACCCTGTTGCTTGCTCTGGCCACAGTAAAGTGCCTCCATTTTGATATGCCCATGGCTTTCTTACTGACAATGCTGTGGCATTGCGCATGCTTATTGCTGTTGGGTAGGTGAATCTGGTGCTGATAACTGTTCGTAGTGATGTAAATATGAGATTCAAAGGCCTGCTGTGCATGCTTATTGGGGTAATTGCTTTCTACCCTCACCCAAGACCGGAGAAGTGGTACCTTCTGCTTGCAGACCAGGACAACAATGAGGTCTTTGCACAGACACATGTGAACCTGGCAGAGGCTGAGAGGCTTGGATTCATCCATGGGGAACAGCTTGAGCAGGATGGTAGGAGGGGCATCGAGAACGGACGGCAGAGTGGGCAGGTGAATATCATCCTATCAAAATATCTGATGGGTACCCCTCTCGAATTTTATGAGGCATTTGTTGAGATTGGGAATGTTTTTGCTTTTGGACAGTTACCCCTGTGGAACGTGCTGTCCTGGTCATTCTCGTGCCGATGGTTGTGCTCTGCGTTCAGTGTGCATTCCTGTCGCTGACAAGGCATCTCACGTATGTGTTAAGATCCTCATTCTGCCAGAGGGGATAAGCAATCCTGTCAAATTGACAACGTTCATTTTAATGGTGTTCCAGTACTTTGAGGCCCAGCATTCTGTATATTGATGTGCATCACAGGGACACCATGACCAAACCTGCACAGGTGTGCCCTCATTTTGCGAAATAATTTGTATGTGCCTGGCTGCTAAGGCTGGTGTCCCAATGGTGGTGCACAGATTATTGCTCTTCGCAATGAAGAAAATGAGATGGTTGGGCAGGCTGTGGAGTTGAGATTCCCAGCGCTGAAGGAGGGCCGCAATGAATTCCAGCTGATGTGCATGTCAGATTGTTGGATCGGCTGTGATAAAACTGTGAACCTCCGAATGACCGTGAAAAAGCTCAAGAAAGAACGCAACCCAGTGCCCAGAGCACAGCAGACGCAGCCTTCTGACGGTGAGTCTGCCATTCTTTCAAGAATCGCCGCTTTCATGCCCGTGCGACTATGCGACAGAAGAACGGTTCGGAGACGTGTTTGTGTGCGCCACCGCCTCCAAGGCGCAAGGACCTTGTGTTGCTTCTTGGGGGCAAATGCGCTTGCGGGAATTCGTTGTTGACGTCGTACGGTGCCGCGCAGATGAAGACAAAGGCGACCAGGAGGACGACGAGCGCTCGAAGGGGAGCGATGCACCGGACGACAGCGATGCTGGCGAGGACGAGGAGGGCGAAGAGGGAGAAGACGAATGGGACAGCGACGAGTCGGGCGAGTTGGAGTCTGCGCCCGAAGGCGAAGACGACGATGAGGAGGGCGCCGATGAGGATGAGGGAGAGGGGGATCAATCGTAGTAGGAGCAATTGCCATCCTGTGCAGAATAGGATCGGAGGGGTGTTGTGGGAATTAATTGCGTTGCCTTGTCAGCTTTTCGGCTGGGCTGCCTTGGGCCAACGGGACTGGAGTCTGGCATTTTAATGACCGCCATTGAATTGTTTGGCCTGTTTAGGTGCACGGGCTTGCGGAATGCTCGAGAGTCGGTGCGCGAAGGTGGAGAACCAAACGCTGGGTCATCGTGTCTGAGAAGCCTCTGGAAGTCCAACCCCGCTGACGCGCACCCGAACGCGAACTTCCTGTGCAAGCTGGGAGCGATGTTCGCACGTCACCTTGTGCGGCCTGCCGTATGTCAGGGTTGGACAAAGGAAACCATTAACCACCTAGAACGCAGCAGTCCATACTGTCATCGCAGCAACAAATCCTGGACCTGGCTTCCAGAGGAATGCCTTTATTTGGGATACCGCACACAGGCAATTCGGCCAACTGGCGCAATGCAGAATGGTTGCATTTGAGGACACAGGCCTTGTGTGGCCGGCCGTCGTTCTGGGCTTCGCCTGCACAAAGTCTTTGTCCTGTCCTTGCCACTCCTTCGACCGTTGATTCCGCACGCCTGTTCACCGCTCCCTTGGCCTGTGCATCCGCATGGCTGCGGGCCATGCAGGCAACGGACAAAGCGCTCGCGGCGGCACGAATTTGGGCCGCACTGAGGACTTTGCATTCTGCTGTGGAGTTCACAGGGGGCCGGGAGTTGTATTACACAAACTGAAAGGAAGCGCGTCATAGAAGGGCCAACGTGCTCCTGAGCAGGAATTTCGAAGCGAGACTGTGTGCAGCTTGGGAAAAAGTCGGCAAGGTGACCTTTCATGTCAGCGAATATCTCCCACAAGGGGAGAAGGTCGCCCAACATTTGTCATCCCCAAATAGAAGCACCCGCATGACATGGATGTAATTGGATATTCAGGGCTCAATCGACCACGACTGGCCTGCATTGCCCAGCCCCTCAGCCGACCTTCACAAGGAATGTTGGGCTGCCCTCACGTGTTGCAACAGACAATCGTCGTGTTATGAATTCGTGCACAACCCAAAGTCCCCATTGTGAAACGCCGACCAGTCTTCGTGGTGTTGCAATGCCGATCCGTGCATCCAGGCATCCTGCAAATCTGCTATTCAATATTTCAACGATAGCAACATGCTTCATGACCACCCACCCACTCATCGTCATGACCCGCCACACCACACCTGATGGACTGCGGCGCGCAAAAGCCAACAGCGAAGTCCAACTACGTTTAGAATCTTTAAACGAAATTCTAACTCCACAGTGACAACGGTTCAGCTCAAAGACATCTCATTTGCCCCATGCCAACGTAAATCAGGGCTGCATTCGACGTCCTCCCCATGGCCACAGGGAAAATCACATCGCATGTTGCCAAGCAGATGGTACAGGCAGAATCCTCCTTCAAATCCGCAAGGTAGGCGCGCCAAATCGGCCTGGCAAGCACATCCGCCCTCTGGGACGCACTGTTCTGATGGCCCTCCGTCCTACCCTGGGCATTGACCCCGGCATCTCCTTACCCCACAACCTCTCGCAGAATTGGCCTGGACTGCTACACACCCATTCCCACCGCTCTGCTGCATGGTGGCTAGCCAGGCGAGTGCGCCGTCGATCAGCTGGGGCTCTAGTCCTGCCAGAAAACGGCCAAAGGCCTAGTCAACAACAGCCCACTGATAGACGCCACAAACAACGGTCCGTGGCCGCTCAAGTTGTACTGCATTTCCAGCCACTGATGACGTCACTGGTTTACCCAGCGACAAGCAATGCACTGTTGCGACTGGTAGCCAGTGCGTGCAGATGGGTGTCACTAAGTGAAAGTCACTTACTACTAGGTCAGCTTGGGCGAGCTAAAAGCGATCAAGGGTACTGGACAATGGTTACTGCGCACAGAGTTAGAGCTATTGGGCGACAAGCAAACCTGCGCACGCAAGATCTGGTGCCGACAGACGTATGAACGACCAGTCCAGGTCCTCAAGGCTACTGTTGACTGTGTCGCAGGAAACCGAGCCTAATCTGATGCAGAGCCGTCTCAGGGATGCACATGCTTATGCCACCATTTGCCCAACACTTGTGATCGACTGCCCCTCTGGCAACTGAGCCTGCACAAATGCCTCTGCCACAACTTGTTCATAAAGGGGTATCAGTGTCGTGCCTCACCAACCCCTCCCCCCGAGCCCTGTATCTCTCTTCACCTTCCGCCTGATGAAGGCGGGTCGACTGGCGCCCCGTTGTTTTGACTCCCGTCCCTGGTCCCACTGCTTTTCTTCCCATCTGCGTCAGGACGAGGCTCCAGGTCCCGGCCAGCAGCACCACTGGAGGTGCCTGTGGCAGCACCCACTACTGCTGATGGTCTGAGGTCTGCAATATCATTCGAGCGATCGTATGTGATTGCATGGTCCTCCAGTATCTTGGGACCATCTCGGATGACCTGTTCTCTATCCATGATGATCGATTTCCCACTTTCAAGGGAAAATGTCAGATACCTGCGTACAGTACAAGGACAATGTAGCATGGTGAAAGGGCTTGTTCAATACTGCACATGGCACCAAATCCAATGCAGGCCAGAACACACGTTCTGTCCCGTGCAGCACTGCCACAATGGAGTGTGCACCACAGTCAACCAGGTGCCACAAAACATCAGAAGATAGGTCGCAGTCCTCGGAGCAAAGCTGGCAGATCGTTAGCACTTCAATAGGCAGGGAAGTCAAATTATGGCCAGTGAGTGCAGCATAGATGGCAGTGGGTGCCGCCATGTGCACTGCAAGGAAGCATTGCGATTGCCATATTGGTGTTACAATACCACACACACACACACACACACACACACACACACACACACACACACACACACACACACACACACACACACACACACACACACACATAGCTGTGACGAATTTTCCTTTGGTCACATAGACACCCCGGCACACTTGTCTGTTGCTTTTGTGCATGCACCATGCTCTGGCTTCACTGTTGCTGTCGATGGATCAGATAAGGCTACAGGGCAGAAAGTGCCCAAAGCATTCTTGCTGAAAGAGAATGCTCCAATACACCTCACGTTTTCCAGCTGCCCTAACTGACAAACTTGTGAGAGCTAGCTGAAATCAGGCATATGGACGTCCAAGTCAGAATAGTCCCAAGAACAATGGCACAAAGCACAGCTGCACAATGCATACCTGTCAGTGCAGGTGTCCACCAGCTCTGCCAAATGCTGCAGGTTTCGCAGCTGTGTCCCATTGAAACTGTGGCAGTGCATGGTGGAAAAATTGTAACCAAAGTTGAGCTCCGATGCCAGGACTTGCACCAAGACCACAACCTGCAGTTGAAACAGCATTCCTGTCAACATTCACCACTTCACACATTGACACACTTCAACATTCACGCAGCATGAAACGGAGTGGATGAACACGGCTCCATTCATCGCCTGACAGGTGTCTGGGTTCGCTTCATAAACTTCAACCAAAGCAATCAAAGGAACCGCAACATGACATCAACGGCAGCGCATCGTGGACAGTGCAGGTCCAGGATTCTCCTACAAGCCTACATTGCAAGGGCAAATGAAACAACAGCGAAGGCAGTGAGCCCCTTATGGCGTAAGTGGAGCATGGACATCCCAACTAGTTGTCGAGTTGCAAGAATGACGTCTAGGCACACCTGTTCCTCGGCAAATGACCTGTATTCCGTGATCATGCCCAGGAGTGGAATGGGGCTAAGCTGCCGCCACTTCCTGGACCCATAGGCATGCTCCAAGAATGGTATGCTGAGAGGGACAAAAACGAGCCCACCAACAATGAAGTATGAAGGTGTGCAGTCCAAGCCATGCATTACAGGCACAAGAGGCCTTAGTTGGCACAGTTGGTAGCTGGCCTCCATTTCCTGGCAGGGCATGCAGTAAACACATCGACGGTCAGGATGATGAGGAACACACCACAGCTCATTCTGCAGGGCTATTCACAATTCTACAAAACTACACTTGTTGACATGGACAGAGCACTCCCCCCCAGCACCTTCAAGGCGATGGAGGGCTGTGCCAAACTGCGGACCTGTGCCCCAAACGTTTACGGCAATGGCTACCTCCATAGTCTCCATCCAGTTGTCAAAAGTGAATTGGATCATGCCAGTCTTGACACATTGCTGGTTGCATGCAAAGCCAAGGGGCAAAAAGCACGCATTGTTCGCAACAGTCATAGTGGGTTTCTCCTGCAGACCCCTGATGCACAGCAACGATTCAGGCACAAACGAGATCTGGAAGCATGGCAGGGGGCTCTCATCCTGCTGTCATTCACAAGAATGACTAAACGCCTCTGTGACACAGCTGTGCACATTGCCACCACACTGCCAACATCGGTGCTGCATTGGCCCATGCTCACAGAGCGGACACTCAATAACTTGTAAACCCACTTCAGATTTCAATACTAAGTACGATCCAGATGAGCAACAAAGCAGAAGGCCAGTCCAGCATGCCCTTGTGCCAGCAATGCAGCCCAGCTGGCAACACTGCCACACCTGTCCACTCCTCAGTATCTTCAGCTGCAAAGTATCGCCTATGTGTTTGCTCCTCACAACGTGGGAGAACTCAACACGTTCATCGTCTCTGAATTGGATTGTACCATCATCAGCGATTGGCACATTGTCCACCTCCATTACAACATCCATCTCCTCCAGGGCAGTACTGGCATTGGACAGAGGGTCGATTTTGTACACCACACATCCAGAACGATTCTCTGGGACCTGCACGAGCAAACAGGTAGCAGGTGATGGCAATTATCCAGCATGAGCACCTCCTTCTCAGGCCGTTGTGGAAGACAGACAATGCATTCAGTTGGACACAGCATTTGTTGACTACAATTTGTTGACTACTGTGTGTGTCACAGCAAGGATCCACTCTTCTCTTTCACAAGGTCCAATCCTAAGGGAGCATCGGCCCAGCACCTGTCCCATGGGCACGTGCACATCGACTGCCCAGAAATTTCTTGCTGAACACATATAATGTTCAATGCCACACTGCGCCCAAAGTTCACCTTCAGCAGATGCGGCAATGTGTCACAATTCAGAGGCCTGCACAAGGTGCCACAATGTCACAATGCAGAGGCCTGCGAATTTCAACACTCCAGGTCCGAAACAGCCCAGGGGGCCCTGTCTGGCAATGCCCACCTGGAGATAGGCTCTCAGGTGGCTGTTTTCCATATCTTGAAACCTGAACCCCCCTGAGCAGCTACCCCGAAAAGTGTTGTGCTCCTTGTACTCTGCCAGGAAGTGCTCAACAATCATCCAAGGGATGATGTAGCCCACGTTGTCTGCATGAGTGATCTTGGAAAACGCCACACCTGCAACTTTCCCTTGCTCCAGGTTGGCAAAGGCGGGGCCTCCTGAGTTGCCTGGGTTGATGGCAGCATCGATCTGAATGCCCAGCAGCTTGTTGGAGGCCACAGCATACCTTGTCATCGTGATTCTTGAGACAATGCCTTTTGTGATGCTCAGGGAGTCACCACCCATCGGATAACCTACTACAAATATAGGATGCTGGACAAACAAAGCAATCATCAGTACAAACACAATCATCAGTACAATCAGCAACTGCCCATCATGGCATTATATTGAGCAAGCTGACACCAAGCAGGACAATATGCAGGGCAACTGTGTGGCAATAGGAACAATGGATTTGCATGGACTGCACAGCTCTGATAAATATAATGATAGGTTCTGAGAGGAGCGCAGGGGGGGGGGGGGCGAGGTCTGAGATGTTTTCAGCTATAGAAATACGTAAAAAGCCTCGAGTAGCACCAAATGGACTTGTGCAACATTCCTCTGCAACAATTGTTGGGCAAGTACTTTGTTCACCGCGGGCCTGGAGGCCATTCTGCTTCTGGTATAATTTGGGCTTGAGGGCTGCTGCCTGCAGTTCGAGGTGATGGTCAAAAAAAGATACCAAGGCATGGACAGCCACTGGGTGCAAGGGCACACTTGTGGCAAGGAGAGCCACACGCTCACCTGAAGGTCAGGCACATCCACAAATTCGAGTGGTCTCAGGTCATCCTCCCAGAAGAGGGAGTCCTCAACTGTCAAGAGTGCTAAGTCTGAGCTCTTGGCCTCACACAGCATAGTGGCCTTCCATTTCTTGGGATTGCCAGGTCTGCGCACATGAACAGAGGTGGCGTTGGATACCTGCAGTGAAGGAACCAAAGTTGGCTGCTACCGAGTGATCATCCACCCTTGCACTGCAATGAAACTTTCAATGGCTACAACATTCAACCTCAGCCCTGAGCGATCCCACAAGGTGACAAAGACCAAAGGATGCCAGAGGAACCACAGCTGGCACAATGGGAAATCCAATGAATATGTTGGATCCAGAACCTTGCACTCATTGCTAACACTGGGTGGTCCAGGGGTGGGTTTGGAGTGGGGAGGGGGGCCTGGGGAGGGTTGCTGTTACTGTGTGGTACACTCACTTCGACTGCATAACAAGCCTATCCATAGCAAAGCACTGCTCTTCTACCTTATCAATGCTAGCCAGGCGCAATGTGCATGCCAATCTGCGGGTTCTTGGGATGCACGCCCAGCATTTTCAGTATCCTCGATGGGATTTCAACTTCAACTGGGTTTATCGCCTTGCGGTGTGGCCACTCGATGCCCAACATCCGCCGATGGCCGCACAGCAACAGGTGTGGTCACCGTGACATCCATCCGCGACACCCAATTCAATGCATCCGCACACCGCCACAGGCACGCTTACCACGTGGGCGTTGGTCACGATGTGGCGACTCTCGGTGTCGACGACGAACGCCGACCCCGTGGAGCTCCTCTGCGGCCGCATCTGCCACGGCTGGGCGTAGTTCGGCTCCGTCCTCACCACGAAAACTGGCGCAGGCGCACGCAGCGCGCACACACCCATCAGCCGCAAACAGAGGTCATCCCCCAAACCGCCCGACGCTCAAAAATTTTGAAAAAGCATTGCACCCAAATCCACCCAGCTCGCCGCCAACCGCAAAACCCGCGAACCTAGCCAAATTCCAGCGCACAGGGACGGGTGGAGGATACGAATCATCGAGCGGCCGCCGATCACCTTTGAGCACGGAACGAAGGGCCCACGCCTTCTCCCGCTTCAGTGATCGGACAGTGGCCTCCGACGGGGAGGCCATGGCCTTGGCGGGCATCCCCTCCTCCGCCTCCTCCAGCTCGCTGCCCACCGCCATGGGAGCCATCATGGGCTCCAGCTCGGGCTCCATTCCGGCCTGCCCCGCACCGGGACGCCGCGGCTCCAAGACGACGCCTGCGGGAGGTCCCCGCTGCTCGCAGTGGTTTGTGCAGTCAAGAAGTCCGGTGTGCGCAGTCGGGCGGGATGCGGCAGACGGGAGGAATACTGCGCAACAACAGTCCTGCAATAGTTGACACCACGCGGTTGCCAGCAGAAGCGACACTGAGCTGGCGACTGGCGCTGCGTAGTTGGGAGTGGGGGTACCACAAGCCCGGCTCCCAACGTGACCTTGGTGCTGAGAGCTTCCGTCACTTCACAGGCAGCAGAAGGACCAGCGGCCCTGGTTCCGGCTGTTTAGGAGCCAAGTTTGCCCACCGCACTCAGGTACACTGCGCCTTTTTCGCCTGTGCGTGAAAATGCACGCATCGCTCCAATGCAAACCTCCAAACGGTGCAAATCATGGTCCATTACGTTGCATGTTGTATTGACATTATTGCCAAGCAGTGTGGTGCACGTTGTTGGCGGAAGGCGCACATTCTTCAGAACCCATGACTGCACAGTTGCAGAATCTTTCGTTGAAACACGTGGGCAAGGAAGTTCGGGTGGGAAAACCGGTGAATGTGAGTGCAACATTCGTGATATGCGGGCCATGGCTGTGTCAACGACAAGTCGACACCCATGGCAATGAAGATAAGGAGTCTACGCAAGTTGGGAGAAACTCAACATTGTCCGGGCATGGGTGTCCATCGAGGATGATGGCAGCAGCTCAGAAGCACTGGCGGAAGATGGTTTTGAGGAACTGAAAAGAATGCGCTTGGGGACAAGATGGTTGAAAGCAGTGTGACAGGAGTTCATCCAGTCAAAGGCAACGAATTAGAATAAAAAGAACTGGAATGGATGAGCGATGAATGTGGCCGAGCGAAAGGCGGGCAGTTTCAACAACCACCACTCCCAGAAAGTGCGCAGTTTACTGTGAATAAAGTTCTTGCTGCCAATGCTGTATGGATCGTGGAATATGATTAAAATCCAAACAACAATCTCTAGTGCAGGGGAGCTGCTGGAAGAAGTGCGACCTCGAGCGAACAAGCACTTCAAGCCTTTCAGTCCATTCTGTACTTCAGCGTATTTGCGCTATCGTCAGGATGCTGGTAGAAGTTGTTCTTGTTGAATTTTGTGGGCTACACCCATGATCAGGTGCCCAATGGCCACTGCCCATGTCATAAGTTCCGCATAAACGTATTCATCGGGCACCATATGGTGCCATGCACGGCACAGGCCGTATTTCGATTTTGTATTACAAAATCGAAAATAAGGATGTTAAGCTGCCGGGTTCCAATCGGAACATGAAGCAATTTTGGCAGAGTTAAGATCCGAAACGTTTTCACAGAACTCCTCACGGCGTAGTGCGAGTTTTAAAACGCCAATGCGTATGGCACGGCGTGAACGGTTGACCTGATCATCAACAGAAATTGTGAAGGTGTTGCTGCGCCTCTCACTGCGATATCACCTTGTTGCGTTTCGCTCCAACACCCGCAATTTGGTGATCTCGCATGATAGGGGCGTTGGGCTTGTGGAGACCGGCATTTCAGCCGCTGGTGCACAGCAAAACGTCTTTATACTGTTTCATTCGGCTCCTAATAGACAGCAAGTGCGCAAGAGCGTCGTTCGTTTCTAATTTGGGCAATCTGCTGGGAGAGCATCCAATATCTTTGCTGGGCACCTGGAGTGTCGATTGGCGTGGCGTTGATGAGGCATTGTGTGATGTTGTGAAATGTTCCTTGAGAAGAGCCAAAGGAGCGTTAAGGGGTGCCCCAGGGACCCCTCGAAAGGTGCAAATTTACCGGTGCAAATTTGCAGCTGTTTCAGTGCGCCCCCAGGTCCCCTGATGGGCACCCCGTTCCAGCGCATAGCACTGATTGTTTGGTGGTGCAGATCGTCCATTGCTGAATAGCGCTCCCGTCACTGTCTGCAGGAGACCACGTGTTGAGCGCTGAACAGGTGCGGACAAAAATGCCAATTCGGCACATGCCAAACTCATCGCATGGAGGCCCCTTCAAAATTGCGTGCAATGTAGCGTCGCAAGAAATCCAGTCAATCCACTTTAGCAGGCAGGCCTATGTTAGTTGACCAGGCGGCGATCTTGGTGC